GGGTGAGGTGACGTAGAAGATGCTGGACTGCCCACTGGGTGACTGTTGGTCTGGGCGAGCATTGTGACGTCCTCTGTGTTTCTGTGTGTGTGCGCACAGGCTAGAGGACCCTGCCTTCTGATCACATGACAGGTTTCAGATGGGCTGGTCCTGGTGGGGAGGCCCCAGGGCGGCAGTGGGTCATGGGACTCCAGTGCCCAGGGGCCCTTCATGAGTCTCGCGCCCACTGGGCTGACCTGAGTGTCCCTAGCATCTTGCACTTCAGCCCATGAAGCCCTGGTCTCTTTACCCAACAGAAACCAGCAGCCGCCAGCCCCATGCCCACCCCTCCAGGCCTGACCCAAGCAACTTGCAGGGCAAGAGGGCACTGAGGTGGCTCCCGTCTCTGAGCCCTCTGGGGGTGTCTGCACTTGGAGACCTGTCCCCACACCCACAGCCTCATCACAAGCCGTCTTTGCTTGCCTGCTCTGGGCTCCCCCTATACCATCACACCCGCACTGCCCGTCAAGGGACAAGCAGTGGGGTGGACGGAGAGGCCGTGCCTGTCAGGTGGGGAGGGGGCAGCGCTGGCGGTGCCTGGGGCTCCCTTCTCCCCCAGAGCTCCCCCAGCCAGGTGCCACCCCTGGGCTTGTGCTTCCTGCCTCCTGCGTCTGTTGCCTGGACCTTCACGCTCCCCACCCCACCCCCTCCTCCTGCCTGCTCAGGGCAGGCCTCCCCCGAGGGCAGGGGGCCCTCCTCCGGGCGTCTGTGCCCCTCTGCTGCAGTGTGACCCGCACCCACACCCATGAGCCCCACCTTCATTTGCACCCCCCGGGAGGGCAGTCTGCACTGGTGGGGGAGCCTACTGGGACCCCAGGAGGCCCTTTGCCCAAGGTCAGGCTCAGCATGGTGTCCATTGTCTCTGCTGGGTCCAGTTCAGGGGGACAGCAAGGAAGAAGAGGCCTATGGGGCTGCGGGAGGCAGGCCCGGGTGGGAGGCCTACGGTGTGAGCAGCACCCCAGGGTGGGGTGCTCTGGCTGCAGCCTGTGGCTGTGGCCCGGACATGAGGCAGAGAAGTGCTCCTAGGAGGAGCGCTAGGCCGGCCAGGCCGGTGGAGCCGCCCTGGGTGGGGAAGCATCCTGGGTCTCTCGCCCATCCTGCTGGTCGTGGCTGGGTCTGGACCAGGTGCCGGCCCCATTGGACCCCACATGCCCCACGTGGGGCCAGGGCCGGGGCCCACTGGTTAGCAGCAGGGCTGGAAGCGGCCAGAAAATACCCAGAGCCTGGCCAACGCCAATCTGCCCCAATGGCCAGGGCAGTGCTGCAGCGGGCTCTGTGTGACTGTCCAGCCGGGCACGGAGCAGTGCGGGAGCTGGTGGCCACTGTGGAGCCAGGGTGCCTTCTGCCCAGAGCAGAGTCACGTGACTGAGGCACAGTGGGAGGGGTGCAGGGTCTCCTGGGGGGCTGACGGAGCATCAGGTACATGTGTCAGCTCCCCTAGAGGGACAGTGCTTGCTGCACACATGTGTGTGTGTGTGTGTGTGGCTGTGTCTGTCCGTGTGTGCTGCACCCACAAACATGGGAAGTCACCTGTCCTCCTGGGAGGAGCCCAGGGCTCTGAGGCCCTGGCTGGGCGCCTGCCCTAACTGAGGGAAGGAGGTGCCCGGCTACCCCCACCCCCATCCTCGGTGTATGGCTGCCTAAGGCCCCAGCCCCTTCCCTCGGTCGTGCCCCAAGAGTTGCCCCACAAGTTGCCTCACTAGGCCCACCCCTCCCCCCTCCCCCACCCCCATCCCCGCTTCACACTCCCCGCCCCCTGCACCCCATCCTGCATCCCTGAGGTGCTGGTGCTCCTGGACAGTGTCCCTGTGAGCTGATGGCCCTGTGCCCCACTGGGTAGCCCTGTTCTGGGGCTGGGCTCTGGGTGACGTTCCTGAGCCTCACCTGGTCCCTTTGTCCTCTCTCCCAGTCACATGGGTGACACCACCAATGGACCTGATGCCTTAATGTTAAGGATGGAAGGTGACTCTTGGGGTTGCAGGCTGGGGGAAGACCTGAGATTCCGAAGCTCCACCTCTTTGCGGAGGATCCCAGATCTGCCCTGACCCTAGTGAGCTCTGCCCAGACCTTGTGTGGGGCTGAAAGGGACCCAGGGTGGAGGGCTGCTTGGAAGGGGCCTCAGTCAGGTCAGAGGCTTCTGTGCAGACAGACCCCCAGGAGTGGTCATTTTACTCAGGAAAAGGGTCCCAGCAGGGTGATTCTGTGGAGAGGAGCCCCAAGACAGAGAGTGTGGAGACCCAGGCATCCCTGGAGGGGCTTCTGGGAGCAGGGGGTTGGGCTGGGCTGCAGGAAGGGAGCCCGAGGTCAGCCCGCCTCCAGGAGCGGCCAGCAGACAGCAGGGGGAGCTTGGAACCTGCTGATGCTGGCCCGGCCCTGCCCTGCCCACCAGCCTTGCTGGCCCTGCCTCCAAGCTAAGCCCACCTCACAGGGTTACTGCTGCCCTGGGGGTGACCACTGTGGATGCCGAGAAGCCCGTGAGCCTGCACCTGTGGGCTCAGGCCCCGGCCACCAGCACTACGCTGTTACCTCAGATGGCCAGCAAGATAGAGTGGCTCTGTGGAGACCAGCCACATGCTGGGAGGAGACCAGGGAGCACACTCCCGGCACAGGTTGGGGAGTGACGGGCCTTGACACTCCAAACCTGAGCGGGATGGGATGGGGAGCTGCAGGCTGCGGAAAACAGACTGTCCAGGTTTGGGACAGGACACTCTCTCTAACACTGCAGGGACCAGGTGGGAGCAGGGGACCAAATTCTCTGCATCATCACAGATCTTGCCCAGGGTCCTCACACAGTGGGGCCCTCACAAACAGTGAGATGTCACTGCAGGCTCAGTGTCCCCTGTCCACTGACCCTACCTGACAGGTGCCCTCCAGCAGCCCAGGAACTGGGGACGAGCCCAAGAAGGGGGGCCACCAGCTGTGGGGCCGGCCCTGGAAGTGAGCTCCCCACACATCCTCCCAGGGCCCTGTTAGCACTCACAGGCACGGCCCCCACCCTGGGGGACTCAGGCCTGGGGTGCCCACCAAGGTTGGTTCTGCTTGGCCCACCCAGCCCACCAAGGTGCAGGGAAGCCTTGGCCCCCTCCCACCCCCAATTCCTGCTTGAAAGCGTGTTCTGTGCATCTTGCCAGAAACCCGGTGGGCTTGCCGCAGACCTGGGCTTGCCTGGGGAGGGGCAGGGGCTGGCAGTGATGGTTAGAACAGGGCTGGCAGCGAGGTCCTGGGCTCCGAGTGAGCAGAAAGGGGCAAGACCAGGATCCAGGCAGATCCAGCACCCACAGAGAGCAAGATGGGTGAGGACACACGGTGGCAGGGCCGGGACCCCCCAACCTGTGGAGTAACACTTGGAACTCCAGGGTCCTGAGATATGGGACCCCACAGGGCAGGCCCACCCAAAGATATCTCAGAGAATACAAACTACATCCTGGAAAGCCTGGCTCAGGCCCCCTTGCATGGGGCCCTGGAGGGTGGGGCCCAGTGCTGGTTCGCATGGGAGCTTCTGAGAAGCCAGTACCACTCCAACACCCAGGAAGCCCTGGGAGTTAAGGCCACACACGGTCCGTGCACACTCCCGGCACAGGTCAGGGAGTGACGGAAGCAGAGCTCAGCCAGCCCCAGGGAGCCTGACAGAGGAGGGGTGCCTGAGCCAGGGACTCATCTCCCTGAGGGCCACCACAGCACCAAGATGGGGAGGGGTCTGACTAGCCCCCAGCCAGGGTTGCAGCAGAGGGGCTGGGGTCTGAGGCCCTCAGGGGAGGTATCGCCACCACCTACCTCTGCCCACCACCCCTGGCCTGGGCCCCTGGCCGCTGCCCTGAGCTGATGTCATCCAATCTTGCAGCCAGGTTGCCCCCATCCTGCCTCGCCACCTGGGCAGGAAATGGCAGGCATGGTGGAGGGGTCTGGAATGTGCACATAGCCGCTCCTCTGGCAGCTTGTCCAGGACATGCACCGTGGAGGGAAGGCTCTGATTGCACGCCCCCAAACCGAGGGCTACCCTTCCCCACAGTTATTCGCACCCCTGCACCCGCCTGCTGCTCCTGCCAGCAGCACGGGGCTTCACATCGGCTTTCAGCCAAACCCTGGAATGTGGCTGGTGGCTGCATGGCAGCTCTCCCTGGAACAGGGGCCACAGAGCACGGAGTATCTTTGAGTCATGGGTGGATGGGGTGCAGCCTGCCCAGAGCCACGCACGGACCAGCACAAAGGCCAGAACTGGGTGGCTGTGCTCACCCAGGCCGAGACTCCCATGAATGGGCACCAGTGTCCAAAGATGTGGGGGAGCTTGAAACTGGCCCCTGTAGCCTGAGACCTGGGCTGTGGGCCTCCAGAGGGACAGGCAAGGGGTTCAGGCTGCCCAAGACCCTGATGAATGGGGGACTCAGGCAGAGAAGAGTGGGACCTGGATAAGGATATGGGGGTGGGCCTGGCCAGCAGCTGCAGAGATGTGCAAGCCACGCAGACCCTCTGAGGAGGCCGGAGACCTGTCTGTCACCCAGACTCGGGATGGCGGGGCCCAGCTGCACCAGGCTGAGGTGACCCAGAGCCGGCACTCAGACTAATGAGGTTCGGGACCCAGAGGCTCAGACTAATGGGGTACATGACCCAGACACTCAAGCTATTGGGTTTCAAGACCCTGGCATATCTGGGTAGGCCCAGCCTGTGGGAGATATCGGCAGGGTGCCCAAAGCACAACCAGCACACAGAGCCCAGCCAAGGAAGCATGGGCCCAGGGCACCCACAGCCACAGAAGTGGGCTACCAGGACGGGCCTGGCATGCAGGCCCACGTGAGATGTGTCAGCGGGGGTCAGACAGCCAGGAGCTCAACAAGAGGGTCCAGGCTGTCCAGGCACCCGGCAGCCCCAGAACAGGGAGTACCAGTGCCCAGACCAGTAGGGCACGAGGGGAGAAGCCTGCACAGAAGTTCAGATGGCCAGGCATGTCCCCAGGTAGTCACAGGATGGGGGATGGCACCCTGATGCCAGGGGTGCCCTGGATGAAGAGAGGCCCAGAAGAGACCCCAGTGCCTGGGTCCCAGGGTAACCAGACAGGAGGGCTGGAGCACAAGCCGTTTGGTGAGCGGGCGCACACTGCACATGGTCAGATGATGGGCCGCATCCCCTGTGACCTCCAGGTGGGTGCGTGACCTACCCAGACACCCTGCGGAGTGGGGGTCACATGCTCCAGAAATCCAGAGTCTGAGAAGATGGAACGACGTGTAGGGAACCAGCATCAAGCAGTGGGGCTCAGAGTGGGGCGCAGGCCCCCCGGATGCCCAGATGATGGGGTACAGGTTCCCCGGTGCTCAGAGTGGGGTGCAGGCCCCCTGGTTGCTTGGATGAAGGGGTTCATGATGAGGGCCTAGAAAGCCTGAGTCAAGGATGACTGGGACACACACAAGTACCCCAATCCACAGGGGACTGAGTGCCCCGGTCTCTGCTCTCTGGGCCCTGGGAACCGGGTGCTGGCAGCGGGGTCAGTGCGGGCAGGGTGCACACGTGCTGTCCTGGCACATCCCACAGCTCCACTGCCAGCAGCTCCTGGCTTCCCCCATCAGCATTTGCCATGAGCTCCAACCTCAGTCCCCAGCAACCTCAAAGGAAGCACCCCAGCCAGGATCTCTGCCAGGGTCTCCATGTGGCTGTTGGCTGTCAAGTTGCTGTCTTGGGGGCCGCAGGGCTGGCTTGGGGGTGTCAGCTGTTTGGTTTTCCCCTTCCTGCTGGGGCACCTCAGACACCCATCTGGCCACTGAGGAGCCCACATCCTGGGAAAGGAACAAAAGCCCTACACAGTGAGGCTTCCATGCTGAGCTGCCCTCTGGAGCCCCCAACATCACCCCGCCATGCATCTTCTCCCAAAGTGGGTACTTGCTCACCCACATGCCCTGTACCCACCAGCAGGCCTCTTTCTGTGGCCCCAGAACTGGCCCCAGAGTGGTAGCCACTTCTTCCAAATCCTGATTGTTGGGTGGGAGCAGGAAAAAGACCTGCACCCTGCAAAGGGGAACATGTGCCTATAGGCGCTCAGGGGCATCACGTGCACACACATTCCACCTGCTGCGTCCACCCTCCTGCTGCGTCCCCAGAGCAGCCTTGGAGCCTGGGCTGAGCCTCCCGGGAGTGTGCCCAGCCAGCCCTGCCAGTGGCCCCTGTGTGACAGGTCCTCCTGTTAAGCATTAACCGGCAACATGTCTGGCCACCACCGATAATGGGTTCCGGGTGACACCCTGGCTCAGAAGGGCCCCTGCAGGGCCTGATCCCGAGTGACTGGACCAGATAAACTGGCAGAGCAGAGCTCAGGAGCTCAGGTTGCAGGCCTTGCTGGGTGCTTTGGGTGGATGGGTTCCGGGGGAGAACTTCCGGCCCACAGGCCCCATGGGACTGAGGACTCTGGGCCAGCACAAAGGCGTGGAGGGAATGACCTCTGGAAGGTCTCGGGCTCCAGAGCCCAGGCAGCAGGCCCACACAGCTGGCGGTGAGAGCACAGCCCACCGGCCCAGCCCGCACACCCGGTACCTGCAGCTCAGCCTGCTGGGCGCCCACCCTCCTGGGCCAGCGGCACTGGGGAGCTGTTCTCCAAACCCAGAAGTCCCTGTGACTCAGGGCACCTGCCCTGGGCTGCAGAGCCTCCTCAGACAACGTTCAGCCTGACCTGCCACTTCCCCACCCACTGCAAGGCCTCTGGGAGGACTCGGGACACCCTGGCCAGGGGCCCCTGGATGTGGGCTGCAGCCCAGGCGCCTGGCAGCTGGGTCTCTGGGAGAACCCTCCCCCAAAGGGGGCTCCCTGGCCCCTGATGACCAGCAGTTCCAGCCCTAAGATGGGGCTCCCAGGGGCCTAGCCTCCCTCCCCACTCCCCCACCAAGAGGACGTTCCCAGTCACTGGAGGCTCTGCTATGGGCTCCAAGGATGGGTCTGTGAGTACCCGGGCAGGCCATAGGAAGTGCAGGCCTCAGGTGAGAGTGCCCTACAGCTGGGGTCTGTCAGTCCCACATTTGCTCCCATGAAAGCACAAAACCTTCCAGTTAGGCTGGAGGTTGAAGGCCGGCTTGGGCTGCTCCACCTGGGGCTGCTGGGATCTCTGACCGAAGAGAGAGACCCTGGGGGCTTCCTGGAGGAGGTGAGGTTCATGAAGGCCTTGAAGGGCCAATAGGATGGGGATGGTATGGGGTCTGACAGTTAAGACACAGACCAACCAGAATAAAGCAGAAGGTGGTCCTGCTGGGAGAAGCTGGCAAGCAGAGCCCAGTCTGTGGAGTAGCCAGGAGGGGGCCTCCTGAGGGGGCGGCTGGGATCGGAACTCTATTTGGGACAAATGCCTCAGCACTAGAAAGGGTTTCCCTGGGTGGCCATGGAAGATAGGCCACCAGAGCCAGGCCACAGGGAGTACTTCCTGACTCCTAGGCTGTGGGCAGCAAGGGTCCTCCCAGAGGCAGCCCCAGGCTAGGGAGGGCTGCAGGGGCACTGTGGGCATGTGAAGCTGGCAGCCCTCACAGGGCCGCCAGGCTGCCTCTGCCTCTGGGGCATCTGTCTGCCTGTGGGCTCCTGTTCACTTTCCCCAAAAGCCCCAGGCCTGGTGGCAGGACCACGAGGCTGGTGCGTCCACTGGGGTGGATGGCGCCACCTGGTGGCCATGGGTCTGCCGACGCCTTCACCATGCCCCGGCTGCGGGCCTGATGGACCTGTTACCTCCCAGGCCTCGGGGTCCCATGGCACCCGTGGTTGTCATCCCCGGGTTCCTGGGGCCCTCTTGTCAAGTTCCCAGGCATCTCCTGTGGTCCTGGGGACAGCCTTCACCCGGCCAGCCCAGGACTCCTGCCCTAGTCCAGATGAGGAGGCCAGCAAAGCAGGGGCGTGGGGAGGACACATGCACGCCCCCTGACACACGTAGGTGCACACACACCCCCGCAAGCATATACAGGCGCCACACACTCATGCACGCATGCATAGATGGGGGCTCGGTGCTGACAGCTTATCCAGAATTCTCAACCATACACACCTCGAATGAAGCTATTTAATTCAGAATACACAGAGACTCTTGACATTTCCAAAATGGAAGCTTGACTTTAAATTTCACTCAGGAAGCCAGGCCTCTGAGTCTGGCGTCCACTGTCCTTGACCCTAGGAGCTCCCAGCTGCCCCCAGGCCCCTGCTCCAGCGCAGGTGGGATGCTGAGGCAGGCAGAGGGTGTGGCCGAGGCCTGCACGCCACCCTGAGCTCCCTGCCCTCCACCGCAGAGGCCTCATCCAAGCGTGCCCCAACCAGAATCGACCCCAGAATTTGTGGGGCCATGCAGAAAACATAGCAGATGTTAGTTCAAAAAATGGCCAGGATGTCGAGATGGTGACGGTGGCATTAAGCCAAGTCTGGGGCCTTCTTTCTGAGGGCCGAGCCCTGCCTAATGCCCGTCCTTGGGCTGCGACTCCCCAGCCAGGCCCTTTGCTCCTCTCCGAGCTGCGGTACCTCGAAGGGGTGACAGAGCCAGGCCTGGGAGGCAGGACATGGGGCCTGGTCTGCACATCTGGGGCCTGGGCAACACCCCCCACAGCCCTGTGGCTGCAGCCCCTCCTCTGGACGCTGAAGGGTTGGCCTGGGTCTGAGAGCAGGGCTGCCTCTGCCCAGTCCTTCAGGGAGTCGGGGGTTCGTCTCTGGGGTCATGGGGGTCTTTTCTGTCTCCCATCATGCTCTGCACTAGGCTGGGCAAGGGGTGCAGAGGTGAGGGGATCTCGTCTGGGTGCCTGGTTGTTCCTGGAGGGGATGTCCCAGACCAAGGCCCCAAGGTAAGGGTGGGGGAGGCTTCTTTGGGAAAAGTGGGCGGGGCACCCAGGCCTTCGGCTGTCAGTGCTTCCGGAGGAGAGGCCAGGAGGCGCGGAGCCAGAGCCAGCCGCCCCTTCTTGGAACCCTGGGTCCCTGCTGCGGGTGGGAGGGGCCGTTCTGGGCCGCAAGCGGGTGGGCTGCACCAGCCTGGCCTCCTCCTTCCCACCCACGCCCGAAGGGCAGCAAGGCAGGCAGGTCAGGGCAGCGGGCCGCTGAGTCAGTTTGCAAGGAATGCTCTGGCCGCTCCCAGCTACCCGGTGCCCCTGCCTGCCTCCTCCCCAGGTGCTGCTGGCCCCCAGGCCAAGCTAGGACCACACCTTCAGCCTGGGCTTGTGTAGAGGAGCCCCTACCTGCAGCCCACCCCTACACCTCTCCCCCTAGCTCCCCACCATGACCCCAGCCCCTCAGGGCCCCCTCCCCATGCTCCCAAGTCATTTCCAGGCCAGGGGCCCTCCGCTACAAAGGTGCTCCACCTCAGGGACTGTCAAGGCCTGGGGGGGCCCAAGGTTGGGGACAGGGGGCCATGGCTCCCCAAACAATCACCCCCAGGCAGGGTCAGGCCCAGAGGAAAGAGGCGGGAGGGAGGGGACTTCCTGGAGGAGGAGGCTCTGCAAGGAGGAAGGGCAGGGCCCAGGGTGCTCTAGGGCCAGGGCACAGGCCATGGGGAGCTCTAGGAGGTTCCGGACAATGGCAGTGGTGTGCCAGAGGGGTTGGGGCAGCCTCGGGGCAGTTATGGCCCATCTCGCAGGGCTGAGTGAGGGTGAGAGCCCTCTGTGGCCTGGCCCGGAGGAGGGTGGTGTGGCCAGAGCCATGGGACTACTGCCTGAGAGGCCCAGGGCTCTGATGGGGGCCCCATTCTAGCCCCCCCTGTCACTTGTCCCTGCCCACCCAGGTGCAGCCAGATGTGGGTGATGTGGAGTCTGACCCAGGGGAGCCCCAGGAGTGGGGGTGCCTTCAGCTTTCCCTGGAGTATGCCCTTGGAAGCTAGGAGGTGAGGGGCCCCACTTTGCAGGCGCACAGGTCTGTGGGCTCATGGGGGGGTGGGGAGCTGGGTGCTGGGAGGTGCAGGGCTGAGCTGGGAGGGGCCCTGGCTGAGCCACCCTGGCTCCCAGACCAGGGTGGGCCTCAAGCAGGTAGCAGACCTCAGGCCCACAGGCCCAGGCAGCCCAGCGGACCCCTATGCCCGCATCAGCCTCTCCAGCCTGGCCGGGCACAGGCACGAGATGAAGGTGGTCCACGGCACGCTCAGCCCTGTGTTCAGTGAGAGCTACTGCTTCCCCGTGAGGGGGGCCGGTGGCGGGGCAGCTCACACCCCTGTCTGCAGGTCCTGCACGCTGAGCTGCAGGTGCCAGTGCTGGGCTATGAGCACTGGGCCCAGCCCCAGCCGCTGGGTGAGCTCCGCCTGCTGCTGGGCTCTGTGGACCTGCAGCATGTCTTGGAGCGCTGGCAACAACTGGGGCCACTGGGCACCGCCCAGGTGAGGCGGCAGACCACCAGGCTCCAGCCCGGCCCTGCCTGGTGTGTCCATGGGGAGACTGAGGCCCTCTCACTGCTCCGCTAAGTGCCTGGCTCAGGCTGGCTGACTGTGGTCGTGCTGGAGGCCTGGGGCCTGAGCCCGGGACTGGCAGGTGAGAGCAATACTTGCTCCACCATGTGGTGAGAGGGCACCCAGGGCCAGGCCCTCAGACTTGGAATGCCCTCTGACCCCAAAGCCCTATGTGAAGGTCCAGCTCATTCTGCTCCAGAGAAAGTGGAAGAAGAGAAAGATGTCTTCCAGGAAGGGCACAGTTGCCCCCTACTTCAACGAGGCCTTCACCTTCCATGTGCCCTTGAGCCAGATCCAGGTGGGCTGCCTGAAGGAAGAGGTGGGCAGGGTCTCACCTGGGCCAAGCTGACTCTGTCTTTCTCTTCCTCCACCACACCACCACCTGCCTCTGCCCGGAGTGTGGATCTGGTGCTGGCCGTCTGGGCCCATGGCCCGCAGTTCCGGGCCGAGCCCAAGGGCAAGGTGCTGCTGGGTGCCCAGGGCTCCAGTCAGCCCCTGCAGCGCTGGGTGGACGTGCTGGCCAGCGCCTAGTGGCCCATCGCCCTGTGGCCCCGCCTGGGCCTGCCCTTGCCTGGCTCCTGAAAGCACCCCCGTGCCTCAGTCTTCCCTGGGCCACCCTGGGGGCCCCTGTCATAAACGCCTTCTGCCTGCCCTGCGTGTCCTTCCTGAGCTCTCGGAACATAGTTGGGCCAAAGGCCCTCCTCAGGGCAGGGAGAGGGTCTCCTCACCAGACTTAGCCAGGCCCTGAGGACTTTGAATGATGCCTGACCTGTGGGTGGGTGAAGTGGGGGCCCCTCCAGGCCAGACAGAATAATACAGGGAGGTGAGGAGCTCTCCCTGTCACTGAGAGCTGAGAGTCAGGGGCAGTGTCAAGGAGGCGGGCTGGAGCTGGCCACACGGGGACAGGGTGGGCAATCGGGTGGCATTTGGTGGGTGGTAATGGTGGACAGAAGGGAACCCAACCCGAGGGGCAGCCTCAGACCCCCACAGGGCCCCAGAACCTTTGGGAAGGCAGCTGTAGGGCCTCCCCTGCATGAGCAGCAGGGGGCAGTGGATGTCTGTGGCAGCCGCCTGGGCTGGGGCTCACCCTGGCCATGCACCTCTGATCCCCACACACCTGGTGGCTTTAGTTCTGAGATTCCCCCCATTCGTGTAGCTCAGAACTCCAAGTCAAGGGCCTCGGATGCCTCTGCTGGGTGGGGGCCTGGTGGGGGGTGTGGGCCTGGGCCAGGGTGACAGGGGCAGAAGTGGGCCTGCCCCAAGGCGGGCCCCAAGCCCTTCGGGTCAGGGAGAGCTTCCCAGGTGGGTGGTGCTGCTGTCCTGGGGTTGAAGGACACATTCCCAGGGGAGCAGGAATGGCCCTCGGCCAGGCTGGACGTGTAGATGACCCCAACCCTGCTCCTGGGTGGGAAGGAGGGCTCATGCCTAGGGGAGGGCAGCCTGCCCCCAGAGCCCCCTGGCTGCTGCCACAGGCCCTGGAGGCAGCGTCTGGGAGTCCAGGCCTTGCCAGGGAGCCAGCCTGGACAAGGGAGAGGCCTGGCCAGCTGTGTTTGAGGCCCCTGCCCAGGCTGGACGGGGACCAGTGAGCGGCAGGGAGGGGGCTGCCTCCATCCCCCAGGAAGCCAAGGGAAAGCTGCAGTGTGGGTCCTCACTTAGGACTAGCATGAGCCCCGAGCTGACCCTGAGCTGTGTGGCCAGCGTGACCCAACGAGGCCAAGCACAGCTGTCCTTAGGCTCCTTGCAAGAACAAGGAAAGCTTCCCAAGCTGTCACTGAGCCCTAAATAGAGTGACCCAACCTCGCACCCCCACAAGACTTCTTGGACTGGGCAGCAGCACGCGGCTGGGCCGGCCGGCAGCTCGGGCAGGTGGGGAGGGCCCTGTGCCCCCATTGGTCTGAGGAGGGTTTCATGCCCTTTCTGAGCAGGGGCCCAGACTGGGGGAGGCCATTTAAACCCCTCCCCCTGGGCCCACCAGCCCAGCTTGCTGCTGCCGGCCTGACCTCTCTCCCAGCTCGGCTGCCCAGACACTAGGTGAGGCCGGCCTGGCTGGCCGAGGCCGGGGACAGGCGCCACTCAAGCCAGCTTGCAGGAGGGCTTCCCAGGGCAGGGGCTGGGGCTGGGGCAGCTGCCAACAGCTCTCTCTGGGGGGGCTTGCACAGAGCTGGGAGACAGATGTGCTGGGAGGTGGGCTGGGGTGGGGCAGGGGTCCTGGACAGCCCTCCGATAACTAGGCCTCACTTCTGGGATCACTAGAAGGAGATTTTGTGGGTCGAGGGACCCCAGACCAAACCAGGGAGCGGTTTCTTGCATGCACTTGGGCCCAAAGCCGAAGGAGAAGAGCTAAAAATATCTGGGAGGCTCTGGTGGCCACCTGCGCTGGCCCCTCCCTCAGGGACAGCTGCGCAACTCGGCCCCCACCCCGGGGCATTTTGGGAACACTTTCTCCTCTTACTTTCCACTCCGGGGAATTCCAAGACACGGCCTTCCAAGAGGTCGGAGATAGGGGCAGGGCAGCAGGGGGTGGGCTAGCCGCCCGGCTCGCCCCCTGGCCCTGGCAGCTGGTGTCTGTGCTGGGATGGGGACCCTGGCCCTCATGCCCAGACCTTTCTCTCTCACAGGCTCTAAGCCCAGGACCTCAAGATGGGGGAGTAAGTGTATCCTCAAGCCCATGCCCCTGCAGCCTCTGCCCTCCCCTACTGGGGCGGGGCTCTCTGCATCTCCCAAGCAGCAGCCCCTGCCCACCCTGGACACCCTCCGACCCCACCCGCCCCTTCACTAGCCTCATCCGTGGCCCTAACCACTGTCTTCTCTCCCCACCCCCCTGCCGCCTCCTGGGACAGTGAGGAGGTGAGTGCATGCTCAGGGGCATGAGGCATGGAGGGGTGGGGCCTGGACTGGGGCAGGTCAGAGGTCAGAGCTTCAAGGCCCTGAGGCCCAGGGAGGTGCGGAAGACAGACGGCAATGGCCACCTGGTGCCTCCCAGAGCAGAGGAGAGAGCTGCAGCAGGACGTGCGCAACTGCCTCCGCTGGATCACGGCTCCCCCACCTCCCCCCCACGTCCCGGGCCCTGTGGGGACCCCGCCCCAAGCCTCCTCCCCCTCCCCCCACCGCTGACCCTGACATGCCACCTGGACAGAGGGGCCCCACGCAGCCCCACGCCCTGGGCACAGCTCCCACCGGGCTCGGGGCGCCCAGGCGGGTGCGTGCGGAGCGCCGGGGGCCGGGGGCCGGGCCCGCGCTGACTCTGCCTCCTCTGCCTCGCTCCGCAGAAGCGCAACAGGGCCATCACGGCCCGGAGGCAGCACCTGAAGGTAGGCGCCCTCCGGCGGGCCACTCGGGGGCCCCGGTCCCCCAGCCGCGGCCCCTCACTGCCTGTCCGGCCTCACCCGCAGAGCGTCATGCTCCAGATCGCAGCCACGGAGCTGGAGAAGGAGCAGAGCCGCCGCGAGGCAGAGAAGCAAAACTACCTGTCGGAGCACTGCCCCCCGCTGCACATCCCCGGGTCCGCGTCCGCGGTGCAGGTACCTCCGCCCTCCCGGCAGCGCGCCTCCTGCTGCTTCGGTTTCCCCCGTTGGTCAGGAGGGCCATGGGGCGGTCAGGGCAGGTGGGGGCGGGACGTGGGGTGGCTGTCCGCCCACCCGTCCTGGCCGCCCCCCCCCCAGGAGCTCTGCAAACAGCTGCATGCCAAGATTGACACAGCGGAGGAGGAGAAATACGACATGGAGATCAGGGTGCAGAAGAGCACCAAGGAGGTGAGAGGTGGGGGGCGGCCGGGGGCGGGGGTAGGGCGCAGGGGGGCCGCCGGGGCGGGGTTGGGGCTCTGCCGTGCAGCTCCTGCCCGAACCGGCCCCCTGCAGCTGGAAGACATGAACCAGAAGCTCTTCGACCTGAGGGGCAAGTTCAAGAGGCCCCCACTGAGACGCGTGCGCATGTCCGCGGACGCCATGCTCAAGGCGCTGCTGGGCTCCAAGCACAAGGTGTGCATGGACCTGCGGGCCAACCTGAAGCAGGTCAAGAAGGAGGACACGGAGAAGGTGGGTCCCCGCTGCAGCTGTCCTGCCCCGCATTCCCCACAGCCACACCCCCACCCCCACTCTGGGGCCCCACTCGGCAGCTGCATGGAGGGGAAACCGAGGCTCAGGGTGTCTCCGACGCCTCTCGGTTCCTCCCCCTACGACCCTAGGAGCGGGACCTCCGCGACGTGGGCGACTGGAGGAAGAACATCGAGGAGAAGTCGGGCATGGAGGGCCGCAAGAAGATGTTCGAGTCTGAGTCCTAGGCTGCCGGCCGCTCACGGCCTGGCCATCTGGCGTCCTGTCCTCTCAGCTGCCAATAAAGGACTCCACTCCCCACCACTGTCTGGTCTGTCCTGCCCAGGTGCTGAGCCAAGCTCAGGGAAGTGGGACGGCCACAGCAGACTGTGCCGCACGCTGGGGACGCCCGAGGTGGGGTGTGGGGGCCAACAGGCATGGTTCCTAGCATTTCAGGCTGGGCTGGGAGGCCCTCATCCACATGGCCCGGGCCAGGGGGCTGCTTGGTGTGGTCAGTAGTGAGTGCCAGAACCTGGGCGTTCCCCAAGGCTTGCCCTGGACACCCCCGACCCCACAGAGCATTACCGTATGATCAGGAGGTCAGGAGATGAGGTCATTTGTCCATCTGCAGCATGGCCATCATCAGGGGCCCAGGGACCCTTTCAAATGACACATCCTGGCTGTGGCCCATGGCAAGTGTGTCCTCCGCATGCACGGGGCAGCCCCCCATTCCTCCCAGATCACTTCTTCTCCAACCCCATGGGCACATGGCAACAGGCCTGGGTCAGATGGCCTCCCACAGGGCAGGGGCACCCATGGGCTGGGGCCAGGCTCCTGCCTGAGGACTGAGGACAGGCCAACCCAGCCTCATATTGGACCCTGGGGAGGACTCGCATCTCCTTTCTGCCCAGCCCAAGGCCCTGGCCCACCTCACACTTCAAGGGGCCATGTCCCTGAGAAGCCCGGACAAGAACTGCCACAGCAGGGCCATGGCTGTCAACCTCCTCTGGAGGGATGGTGCTGTGCCCGCCAAGTCCCTGCACCCAGACCTTTGGAGGGGAGCCTGTGATGGAGTAGCTGTCTGCCCGCCCTTGCCACCCTGCAGTCCCAGCCATTGGTGGGGCAGCTGCCTGCAGCCTTGGGCTGCCTCATGTCTGACATCAGCCTCCCCTCCCAGCTCTCCCAGCCTTCGTCCACCGCTCCCCACAGACCCCTCCAGCTTGCCACCCTGCAGCATGTAACTGCAGCCCCTGACTGATGCCTGGGCCCCTGGCTCCAGCTCCTGTGGGCCGGGTGGAGGGCACTGAGGGGGCAGCCCAGGGCAGACACTGAGCCCAAAGAGTGGGTGTTTGGTGCCGGTACCCCACCCTGGACTGGTGGCGTGAACTGGGCAGCTGTCCAGGCCATGCCCCCGGGAAAGGATGTGGGAACTGCCCCAAGAACCCTGGGGCATCCTAGACAGACTCAGCCTCACCATGTTGGGCACATCCACCATGTGGGAAAACAGGCTTTTAAAAAAAGCTTTAAATGTCAAACACAAGAATCCAGACAGTGATTCTAGGTGGGGGCCAAGCAGTGGCCATCGGGGCGGGAGCAGGAAGCCTACGTGGGGTTGGGGCATGCTGCAGTTGCTGCGCAGGCTCATGGGCTCCCGTGCTGGCTACATGTCCAGTGAGTGCATGAGTGAAGTAAGAGGCTGTGCAAACCAGGCCAAACCCACAGGCTGGTGGCTGCACGCCCCTCTGAAGAGGGGAGAAGGTGGGCGGCCCAGCTGACCCGGTGTCCCCTGATGAAGGCCCAGTGTCCGCACAACTGCAGGGAGGTGGAACCTGGTGACTCCCCCCAAGTGGGTGGCCCAGCATTGAATGTGGTTAGGACTTCATTCTAGAAAGATCTCTACAGGGTGGAGGACAGGCAGAAGAGGCCACCTCCTGGGAGGCAGAGAGGTATAAGAGGCAGGATCTCCGGGACTCAGTGGATGGGGGAGACAGGGTGCCCAGGCCTGTGGGGTGGGGCTGTGCTCCAGGGGAGCCCAGGGCCATGGGGCCGGCTTTGGGCTGGAGGGTCTGGACATCCTCAGGAGTGAGCAGTGGGTGATGCCTGACCACTATGGGCAGGGCAGTGGGAGAAGCCCACGGCCCTGCAGGGCCGGAGCTGATGCTGCCAGGAAGGACCCCGAGGGAGGAGGGACTTGGCACAGGACCCTGAGGTGATGCTGAGGTCAGGGAAGCACCTGCAGGCTGGTGTGAAGAGGGGAGCATGGAAGGCGGAGGATGGGGGGGAGGCGCAGACCAGCTTGTGCCCAGAGCTCTCCTGATCCGCCCGCTGCAGGCCAGCGAAGCATGTGCACCCCAGCACCCATGCTGCCCGGGACACCACCCTCAAGGGACCCAGTTGGCAGGGCTGCTGTGCACTCCTAAGCCGGGGGTCTTGGTGCGTCAGAGGGGAGGAGTGGGCGTAACGGGACAGGTCCCAGACCAGGATGGGAGAGGGAACAAGGATGGTGCTCCTGTGCATGTCACCCAAGGCAGCGTCTGTGGTCAGCAAGACGGCATCTCCACTCTTAGGAAATGGACCTGGGGGTCCATTGCTGGGCTCCTGAGACGTGGGACAGGACAATGGCCTGAGAACAGACTGAGTGATGGCAAAGCTGGCTGGGCGCCGGGCCCCTGCTGGGCAGGGCTGCTCCTTACAGCGGCTGGTCTTTCTTCCTGGGCTGTCACAGTCCTGATATTGCCACCCTGGGCCTGCCCTAAAAAGGAATCACAGATGGGGGCTTCCTGCACAGACATTCACGTCTCCTGGCCCTGGAGGCTGGAAGGCCAAGACCCAGGGGTGGGCAGGCCCGGCTCCCCCAGAGCGTGGGATGCCATCCCCTCCCTGGGTCCTCACACGGCCGTCCCTCTGTGCGTGTCTGTGTCCTGACCTCCTCTCCTTATAAGGAAGTCAGTCCTATGAGATTGTAGCCACCCTATGATCTCATTTACCCTGATTATCTGCAAAGACCCTGCAAAGGTCAGGCACATGGGGTCAGACCAGCACATGTGAATTTTTAGGGCACACAATTCAGCCCCTGGTGATCCCCAAGCCGTCACTCCCTCCGGCCCACACAGCTGTCTCTCCAGGTCATCACCATTTCTGTACTGGACCCTCAAACGCTGCCCCCATTGTCCACCTACCTTTCCCCCTGCCCCACCCTCCAGCCCACACAGCCTTTGGTCAGCCCCAAACTGCTCTGCCAGCCCTCCTGGATGGCCTGCCACGTGGTGTGGTCTCCTACATGAGGGTGGGTCTCGGCCGCTCCTTTGGCCCTGGGGAGCCAGTGGCCAACAGGCCTGCACATGACATGCAGTGGCCCTCCCTCCCCCAAGGCCGGCTCGTGCTCAGACTCTGCAGGCCAACTCGGGCCCTCAGGCTGCAGCCAGGGAGCCAAATCAGAGGTGCACAGTCCTTCCCTGCTTAGCCCTGCTCTGTGCCGATCACTTCCCCATCTTGACTCCACTTCCCCTCTCACTCCACAAAGTCGGCTCTGTCCTCTCCTGGCCCCTTGTCACCTGACATCTCTTGGGCATGTGGTCCTGAACCTGCCCTCCCCTCCCAGGGGGCCCATCTCACCTGGGCCATGGAGACCCCCTTGCCATGGACCCTCTGGGCCAGTCCACCTTGATGCCCTCTGCTCCAGCCTGCCTGGAAGCACCTGTTGGTGGGGGGGGCCGTGCCCCTCAGCTCACCATCTCTGGTGCTTGAAGCCTCTCTGGTGCCCCTGTCGTCCCGCAGAGCTCACTCTGTCCTGGCCTCGGACTGGCTCATTCCTTCCTCAACACTCGCTGTGTCGCCAGACGCTGCTCCTGACAACGGATGCGACATGGTCTGCAACTCCCCATGCTCCCGATCTTAGAGTCTGAATGAATGATACCAAGTAAACAAATGACAGAGGCGGTTTCTCAGGCAGACTCAGCACCTCCTAGGACCATGCAGCTCTGTTAACTGCCACCCAGCCAGGCATGGCGGCCCTTACCTGGCATGGGATGGACAGGAGGAGAGGCTGGAGGGACGGAGGGCAGGGCTGCCTGGTAGCAGGATGGCCCTGGATTTGGGGCAGCAGAGTCTCAGGGCTGAGCCCAGCTTGGCGGGGGAGGGGCAGGCGGCCATGGCATCTGGGGGCGCCCGCCCGCCCTGGCTTTCCTTTCCTCTATGAAGTGGGAGGTGAGGCTGTGGTGGGGAGGGGGGCCACGCATGTGACTATGGGTCGGGGCTCTGCATCTGGGTCCCCGGTGCCCCCACTCGCCTCTCCTGGAGACTGGGGTCTCCCCCTCTGGCCCCAGCAAGTGTTGGGGTCTGTTTGGGGAGGCACAGCGGGGTGGGGCCGTTCAAACAGCAGGAAGGCATCTCCCCACAAATGAAGCCTGAGCTGAGGAGCGGGTGGGCAGAAGCCTTTGGGTGAGAGGGGATGCGGCCCAAGCCCTCCCCCTACTGCTGGGGGCCTGCTGGCCTTCTGTGGGGTCCTTCCCTGCCTTCGTGGTCACACGGCCTTCTCCCTGCATACAAAGCTGTCTCCAAATTTCCTCTTTTCACAAGGATGCCAGTCATACTGAGCAAGACCCACCCTATGACCTCATCCTAGCTGATTACATCAGGGACTCAGTTTCCAAATCGGGTCCTTTCTGCAGTGCTGGGGATGGGACTTCAACCCACTGGGGGTACTGCTCAACCCCTAATGGGGGTCAGGCTCCCGCTGGGCCTTTGAGGGTGGGGACAGTCAGGGGGCAGGGGCAGTGTACTCTGGGGGCCTGTGGTCTGGCAGATCCTGTGGTGGTGACCAGCTGCTGTCTCAGAGGAGATTAAAAGCCAGGTGGGGGCAGGTCAGGCCGGGCCTCTGTGGGCAGTTAAAGGCCTTCGGCATTTACACCCCACACAGGGCCAGCCTCACGGGCCCGGAAGCCGCCTCGCTTGGTTTTGTGCCCCACAGGCCCCTCTGGAAATTCTGAACAGCTCTGACCTGAGCTCCTGATGTCACCTGCCAGGGCCCCATGGACGATGGAGCAGACCCAGCATGCAGGCTGAGGGTGGCGGGTGGGGAAGCCCTGCGTCGCGCTGGGATGGCAGGCCAACCTCCCTGCCGGCCCGAGGGAGAGCCTGCAGGACAGGCTTCCGGGGGTCACACCTGCTACCAGGGCGCCCACATGGGGCAGGGGAGCTGCAGGACTCATGCCTCTGGATGTGCTGGGGGGGCTGCTGGAGCCTAACCTCCGGCTCTGATGGACATCCAGCCACCATGTCCATGGTTGGACAGTAAGCGACCTCTGGAAACCATCGAGGGGATGCAACAGGCAGCAGGCCGAGAGCTCCCGGGACCCCGTGGGCTCCCCTCTGCCTGGCTCAGGCCCCCTGTCCCCTGGGGACGCCAACCATCCGTGGGTCAGTTCTGAGCCCCTCGAGCATGGGGATGAGGGGACTCAGGGGGACACAGGGAGGGGCAGCAGAGAGAACAGGGAGCCCAACAGTTCAGGAAAGCCAACACAAAGACAGGACGTCAGGCTTGTGGGGTACCTCGTGCAGGCCCAGCAGTCACCCTGGAGCACAGCAAGTTGGGGTGGCCCTGAGTTGGGAGGAAAGGGGAGTCCACACTGAGACACACCCCAAGATTCCCTCAGAAGAGGTAAGATGCCTAGTGTGGGGCTTTGGGGCCAGATCCGGGGGACCCTGCTGCACACATGCACCTGCAGGCCAGCGCTGCTGAGGCCCGGGCAGTGGGGGCTCCTGGGCAGGCCCAGCGTCCAGCCCCACCCTCTACCTGCACCCTGGGCCCTGGCTACTTGCCTAACGCTTCCTTGTGGCTGGCTGTTTTTTCCCCTCTTGCAGCAACAGATTAAAAAACACCCGAGCCCAAGGCCCAGTGCTCCGACCTCAACCTGCAGCCGGAAGGGGGAAGTGAAACCAGCTGGGGGTGGGGGCGCCCCGCCAACGAAGAGGCACCCAGAGCCACAGTGCACACACAGCCGGAACCACCCAACACCAGGCCGATGGCGGAGGCCCCAAGCCACCCCGGCTCCGAGGAGCAAGAGGGGCTGCTGGTGGAAGAAGGCACAGGGTAAGGCTGCCGGCAAGGCCCGCTCGGTGGCCATCGGCTCCGAGTGCTCCAGGCCTGCGCCCTTCCACCCCCAGGGGCAGGAACGGCCTCAGCGTGGAGGTGGATGGTGCCATAGGGGACTCGGCATCTCACAGGCTGCAGGGTGCCTCCCGGGGCCCTCCTCACACGCCTCTCCTGTGTGTCCCTGCAGCCAGGCCGCACTGGGAGAGTTGGGTTCCCCCACCTGCTGGAGGATGCCAGCCCAGGGCAAGGAGGGCTGGATACGGACACAGGGACGCAAGACACGGCCTGCACAGCTGGGGAGGAGACCGGGCCAGGGGCAGGAGGGCAGGAGGCGGGGGTGAGGGGCGGCCCTGAGCCAGGAGACCTGGTCACGAGGGGCTGCTTGGTCTTGGGACCCTCAAACCTGTGTTGGAGGGCTGGCTGGGCCCTGCCCCTAGGCTGCCCTCTCCCGTAATGGTGGAGAAGCCTGAGGATGCCAACAGCTGCCTGTTCTGAGGCTGTGGGTGGGTTGTGAGGGGGACACAAGCAGAGGCTGTGCGGGTTACCAGCAAAACAGACTGCCTGGGTTGCAGCAGCAAGAGGGGGGTGGGCGGAGACCCCAGGCCCAGCCTCCTCAGGGGGCTGCTGACTCTGGGCTGCTCAGGACAAAGGGGCCCCGCGCTGGGGACAGTACTATCTGAGGCAGGTGTCCAGGGACAGGAGCCAGGAGAGAGGGGAGGAGTTAGGGACTGGGGGCAGGCAGGGCTTCCAGGGCGGCGGGCAGTCAGAGAATGGGGACCCGTGTGTGTGGATGGAGGCCACCCGCCCAGGGGGACAGTGGGGGCTGCTGCCAGGTCCACTGCCTGCCCAGGGCTGGGGGTGGGGGCGTGGCCACCAGGGTTCCCATCTAGGCAGCCAGGGCAGGGTTCCCACTGCCTCAGGGCTGACTTGCAAAGTGAATCTTGACTCGGGTCACTGCTGGAGGCTGGAGCAGAGACCGGACCCTGTGGTGATGCCTTTATGGGAAAGAGGGGAAAGGGCAGAGATGCCTGTCGGGGTGTATGTGCCCCTGTGTGTGCTCCTGTGAGCACCTGTGTGCATGTGTGTGCACCTGTGTGTCTGTGTGCCTGTGTGAGGGCGGTGGAAGGTTACCTCACCAAATCCCAGCTGGGGCTTGGTTTGGGGCCTCAGCAGCCCAGTGCCGGGTGGGTGGGAAGCTGAGCAGAGAGTGGCCTGACAGGCTGGGGTCCAGGACAGGGTGAGCGTGCTAGGTTGCTGCTATTTTGAGGCCCCCTGCCCTCGCAGGGGCTCCACGGGACCCGTCGCCCTGGGGGTAGGGTTGTGAGGGCCCCCTACCCAGGACGTGCACTCTATGGGGGCTGCAGAGCCCTTCTCAGGGAGACAGGTTGCTCTGTGCACACAGCGTGTGATTGGGGAACAGCTGTGTCCCCGCTCAGGAATTGCTCATCACGTCAGCGCTGCCCAAGCCCTGGGCTCCCTGTGCGTCTCTGGCCACCTCATGCCCATAGAAGGGCATGGTGGAGAGGCCTGCCCCCACCCCCCGCCCCATCCTTACCACCCTCCCAGCTGTCGCACATGCTGAGGAAGTGGGTGGAGGACTTGGAGGTGCTGGCTGCCGCTGAGGCACTGTGGCACCTGCCCTGGGGCTGGGCTCTGTTAGAGGCTTGGGCTGGAGAAACAGCCAGACACACCTCAGCCCCTGGGCCCTGGTGTCCCGGGGGACACGCTCCCCCCAGCGTGGTATGAGACACCCACCTTTCATAATGAAACCGAGATTGGGGTGGGATAGGTTCTCATGTCATGAGGTTACTAAGGGAGTTGGGGGTTTTCCTGTGCAGGGTGAGTGACAAGTCCCGGAGCCCAGGAGGGAATGTGTGGCCTGGGAAGCCCCAGGTGGGAGCCCGCAGGAGGGCTGAGGCACGGCAGCATCTGCTGGAGCTAGAGCAGAGCAGACGAGACCTGCCACCCGAACCGCCACGTGCTGCCCAAGGGGGCTTTCGGGCCTCAGGACATCAGCCCTCGTGCTGAGCCCAGGGCAGGCCGAGCCCCTCAACTGGGCTAGTGACCCCCCCACAGACTGCCAGCCAGGGCCACAGAGCTCCAGTGTAGCTTTGCAGGGCCCCTGTCCCCAGCCTCTGTCCTGCGGGGAGTGACAGGCATTGGACCCCAAGGGGGTTGGGAAGACAACCCTATAGGGTGCAGGAAACAGGGCTTCAGGACACCTTCAAGGACCCCTGGTTTGATGTGTCCAAACCCTGGAACCCCAGCTCCTCAGAGGCCCCCTGTGCTCCTGACCCTTCCCAGGGCCAGACCTGGCTGTGCTGGGTCCTTTAGGCACCCCAGTCCCCCATCCGCATGGCAGAGGTCCTGCCCCTCCACCAGCAGACAGGCTCACCCTGAAACCCCTCAGGTCCTGCCCCTGCACAGCCCAGCACAGCACCCCCTCCTGGTTGGCCAGGACAGCCTTGCCTTGCTGGGGGCCATGCCCTTTCTCCACGAAGCCTCTGGACCACATCTGTCGATGCGTGGAGCCATTCACCACAGGACGGCAAAATCCACACCCTGGGCCAGCCACTCCAGGCCCCCTTGGCCGCGCTGACCCCTTTCCCCCACAGTCTGGCACTCCCAGCTCTTGTCCATTTTGGAAGGTTTGCCAGACTCCTGGCAGACTTGCGCAGGACCATTGAGCCGTATCCAGTGGCCCCGCCCTTCGCCAGGCTTCCAGAGGCTGTGTGGCCCAGTCCCAGCATCCCCAAGCATCTGCATTAGCACCTGTCAGCGCCAG